ACAATCCCACGGCGGTGCTGACATATGACAGGGTGGCTTTTATATGGGGTCTATATGCAGCTGAGGTGCTTACCCCATCACTTTGGAAGTGGAGCAGATGGTCAAGGCAGCTCCAGCTTACAGTGACCCTATAAGGGGTCTTCTTGACAAGAATTATTCAGAGGTTTGTCATTGCCTTCCTCTGAGGCTGAGAGAATGTGTTCAGGGCGGTATATTAATAATAATAATAATAATAATAATAATAATAATAATAATAAAGTTACACAGTTTCCATGGCTGAATGGGGATTTGAACCCCGGCCTCCCAGAATCCTAGTCTCACACTCAAACCAATACACCACACTGCCTCTGTAGTAAGGCAAGATGGCCCCAAAGAAAGGGTTTCCACTTGGACTTCAGCTGTTTGGGAAAACAAATAATTGCCTCACTAGTTCCATCATTTTAAACCATTGTGTAAAAGCCAACTCTTATTTTGCTAGTAACATTTTTTTTTAAAAAAAATTCAATTAGTATGTATTTTAAAGCATGATTGTACTTTCTGAACAAGGACTCTGTTTGGATTAAAAAAACATGGTTCCTCCATTGTATTAGAGGTGATGAATGGAGAGAGATTGCTATAGGAAAGAAAGGACAGTGACAGTGGTAGTGCCCATCTTACGATGAATTTAAAAGAACCAAAATACAGTAAGTTTAGAAGCCTCAACAGGACTTTATTTATTTAATAAATACATTCTTAGGACAAGCTAGCCTGATGCTTTCTAAAATACACTAACAGAGTTAAGATGGCAGGCAGACATGCTATAACAAAGTCCTCTTTCATGAGAAGAAAGCATAGACACACCGGCCTGAAAAACAAGATGGGAAAAGTGAGTTCAGCCTGGGTTAGCTTCTTTTCTTTACAACAAGGCAGTCAATTAACCCTGGCTGAACCAGATAATGTAATCTGCCCATAATGCTTTGAGATGGTGGCTGACAGAAGAAGCATATGAACAGGAAGGGAACAATAAAGTTCCTAATCTCTCTTTGTTGCAGCTGTCTTATCCTTGGTGGACAAGAGAACAGGAGGAACAAGTGTGGTAGCTGCTGCATCTTCCAACACATTATTCAAATTAAACATAGATCTTTAATACTATCTTTCTGAAATGTAGAGTTTTTATGATGTAGAAATGATGGTGTGCCATCAAAATTAAATTTAACTTTGCTTTTGAACAGAGGTGATAAAAGTGACAGGAGAGAGGTTAGGAAAGGTTTATGATGAAAGTCTGTTTTTAGGGTTGACTATGGCTCTGCAGTCATTGCCTCCATCATAAATGTACTTGTAAATCAGACAGTTTAAGATTGAAAGGAGTTTTGATTGAAACTTAATTAGTACGTGTCATGGATTATGATGGTTCTATAGCACAAAATGTGATTGTGTCTCCCAGGTTGCCACTTACTTAATTAAAAGAGAACAAATATTAAAATCCAATAAATGATATATCTCTAGAGCAAATGTAAAGATTTGAAGGCAGAAGGAAATGACTCATTATTTCAAGACTGGAGATCATTAGCATAGGAATTGTCAAGAAGTTATAAAAGTTCATAATGCAGTGGAGAGAATAATGGAAATGGAAACTAACAGAAGATAATGGGTTCATCTTTCTATTTCTATCTCTAGGTTAATTTCATGTTTGATCATGTGACTGCAATGTATAAATATATTACAATTAAAAAGTAATCGATTGTTCTTGAAGAATAGAATTGTTATAGCAGCTTGGAATATGGGTGGAAAGACTTCCCACCCCCAGCAACCCTCCAGAAGTGTTTGTGGTTTAATTTTCCAGGTTGGAAAATCAATTTAGATGTAAATCTATGCTACAAACACATTTTCCTATCAATTTAACTAATAGCTTTCCTCAAGAAGCCATAGGAATTTTGGTTTAGTGAGCCAGGTGGTGATTCTGCTAGAGTACGGATGGGGATTATTTGGCCATATAGATGTTTGGCTACTACTGTCAGTTGGACCCAACATGGTAACAATGCATGTAGTATCTCAAGGGCCAAAAGTTTCTTGCCTCTGAGTTGGAGATCTAGTCATCCCATCACAGTACAACTATCTTCACAGTTCTTTGTGGAAAGTGAAAGACCACTAAACCAGCAAATTTTTTAGAATGACTTTTTGATGCTTTTGTCAAAACATCACCAAATATGTGACCATTGTTAATGGCATAGAGAAGTCAATGTGGAAAAATCAGACCTGGAGTAATTATCTTTATATTTTAATCTTTATTGGGCTGTGCTGTGTGACATCTCATAGGAAAGAAGTTCCTCTCTCCTTGCTAAACTATGTGCTGCTTGGGAATTAAAGAGTGCAATGAATATATAGTTTTTCAGGCATATTTCCCACATTTTCAAACTGCAAATATTACATAGATATACTGTTGATGCATCTTTATGTATTACACTGTGATATAGGATATTGTGCAAACCTGTGTCATGGAACTTATTGCTTAGTAAACTTTGTAAAT